TGTGTGTGTGTGTGTGTGTGTGTGTGTGTGTGTGTGTGTGTGTGCTGATCGCTTGTCGTTCTTGATCGTTGCCACTTTTAAACCACGAGATGGTGCCCTGTCGAACGGGAGTTAGTTGATTATCCAGGATAAAAGTTACCAAGTCTACTGAATGCTTTTAAAAGCATACGGTCCAGAGCCAGTCACCGTTAAGAATCCACTGCGATAACTCGTGATATTGCAGTGGGAACCGCGCGGCTTCGCTAAATGCGAGCATCCTTATCTACTGCTGCTGGCTCCAGCTGTGACTCATCCAACAAGTGAACACTCAAAATAATATCCAGTTTATGCAAGCAAGCTGCCCCACCTCTTTCCTCATCTTCTGCTTCCGTATATGTGAGCTTGCTTGCTCTTCTCGGCAAAAAGAACCATTTTCGATAAACAGTGGACCATTGCGCCGACTCATGTATCATGTAGCCGGGCCATTCGATGCCCAGTGCTGAGCGCAATTTTTTGTATTCATCAATCCAGTTAATATGTTCTACAGTGCCTTCACGTGTTACTCTCTGTAAAAAAGTGAATAATTTGAAAATTTGGCTGACTTTTCCTTCTTCCTTTCAGTGCACAAACAGTACAAAAAGAGAATGAACTGTCCGAGAAGTTGTCCTGAACATTTTTTGATCAACTCTGTTGACGGTGTTAGTAGCTTCGAACTGTGGCCTTCCTTCAGAACCGTTGCAACGGTGCGAACACAATCGGAGATAACGCGACAGCCAGGATCGAAAGCAAGCCGGCCGATAACAGCACTAGTGAAAGGAAACGCAATAAAAATTGCCAACTGCACAAAACTCACTATAAAGTTAGGCGGACATACAAAACTAATAATGGTAATAATGCTTTATCTAGCATCTCTGAGATAAATATGTTTATAAACGCGAAAATTAGTTACCGTTCGAAGAAAGATCGACCAAACATTTCAAAAATTTGCCCACTGCGAATTCAAAAAAATTTTTTGCACATTTCACATTTCGAACTTAAGTCCAGTAAGTTCAGTACAAACCTTAACCCACATTGGGTTAAAATTGACAAATACGCCTTCG